TAATTATTTGTATACAATTTAACGTTAGAAGCAGTAATATCAACACCCAAATATTTCACTTTTTTCACTATTTCAAAACCCGTTACACTACTTAATATCTCTTTATCTTTCATAAACATATTTTTAGATAATATTTTAGTCTTATTATTATTTACTTTAAATCCAGACACCTGTCCATATTGCTTCAATATCTGTATCAAATTTCTTGCCGAATCTGTTGGTTGGGACAAGGTAAAAACCAAGTCATCAGCAAAAGCTCTAAGCTTATAGTCATTCTTACCCAAAGCTATTCCTTTTATAGATGAAGACTCACGGATCTTGATTAATAAAATCTCCAAAGTCAGAATAAACAGTAAAGGTGATAATGGACAACCTTGCCTTGTACCTTTTTCAATTTTAACTGAGTCTGTCAAACCTCCATTTACTATCACTTGAGCAAATTGTAGTTGATAGATAGCCTTTAACGCTGACAAAAATCTATCCCCAAAATTCATTCTATCAACCAACCGTAGCAAGAATTGCCAATCCAATTTATCAAAGGCTTTTTCGGCATCCAAGAAGATAAGAGCCGCCGGAATTTGATTATTTTTGTCCAAATACTCCAACAACTTCACAATTTGTCTGACATTGTTCTTCATATATCTTCCATTTATAAATCCAGACTGGTCCACATGAATAATCCATTTCAATACTTGCATTAGTCTATTAGCTAATATTTTTGCAAAAATCTTATAATCCGTGTTCAATAAAGATATTGGCCTATAATTTTTAGGCTGAGTCATATCTTGATCCTCCTTTGGTATAAGTGAAATAAATGCAGACCTCCAAGATGGCGGTATTTGTCCTCCCATTAAAATATCATTAAAAAGACATCTCAAGGGTTCTAACATTTCTTCAGACAATTTTTTATAATAAATTGCAGTAAACCCATCTGTACCAGGGGCCTTACCAACCTTCAATTGTTTAATTGCCTCTGTGATCTCTTCCAACACAATCGAACAATTCATCAATCCTTTTTGATCATCGGTAAGACAAGGCAAATTTGCTTGTTGCAAATAATTATCTATTTCAAAAGATTGTATATTCTCAGAGGCATATAATTTAGAGAAATATTCCGAAAAAGCCCTTTTAATCAGGTCCTGCTGGAAAACTTCTTTACCCTTATAGTTTATTTTCTCAATGAGTCTTTGTTTTTGTTTCTTACGTAATTGATAAGCTAACCATCTTCCAGGTTTATCTGCATTGCAGAAAGTATTATGTTTCATATATTTCAAGTTAACAGCAATTTGATCAGAAAGCAACATATTAAATTGTTCTTTCAACATTGCAATAGATGCCTTTAAGTTCTTATCCGTTGGATTTAAGGAGAAAGCTTTTTCCTTTATTTTTATCTCTTGCTCTATATCTTTATACCTTTGTTGCTGATTTCGCTTATAAGCAGAATTCATTGAAATTAAGGCACCCCTCATAACTGCTTTGCTTGCGTCCCAAACCATTGACATAGAGGTGCCTTTATTCATATTCAGCATAAAAAAATCTTTTAAATAGTCTTTAAGTTTCTGCACATTTGTTTCATAATTCAATAAATTCTCATTTAATCTCCAAGTCCTTCTACTACCTCCATCAATTGAAAATTCCATCCATACAGGACTATGATCTGACAATATCTTAGAAAAAATCTTCACCTTCTTAACCCTGGAAATCAAGTCATTAGTAATCAAAATAAAATCAATTCTAGAATAAGATTGATGCCTATCCGAAAAAAGGTGAAGTCACTTTCTCCTATATTCCTCTCTCGCCATATATCTCTTAATTCAAGGTCTTCCTGTAATGCAAAAAAACTTTTAGGCAGTTTAGTTTGCATTGAAATTTTAGAAGAAGTCTTTTTATCTTTTTTTGAGTCTATTACACCATTCCAGTCTCCCATCATAATAACAGATTTGTAATCCAATTGTATTGTCTTTTGATGTAAAAGAGTATAAAATTGCTTTTGTTGTTGATATGAATTAGGTGCATATAAACCCACAAGGAGACATTTTTTCCCATTCAATATAATTTCAATAAACACAAATTTTCCTTCCACATCAGCATCTATTAACTTTGGCATCAGTTCCTTCTTAACATAAAAGACTACACCTGCTTTCTTCTTTGGGGCAGGGGCAATAAAATGTAGACCCAATTTAGGATTAAACAAATACTTTTGATCTTTTAATGTAATATGCGTCTCTTGTAAACATATAATATCATTTTTGTGTTGCTTCAAATAATAAAA